CTTTCTGTCTGGGGCCCCTTCCTCAAACTTCACTTTTGGGTCTATAACTACCCCACTGATGGGAAAATGGAGAGACAGGACATATGAACACTGCGTAGGTAAGGAAAACATTTTTCTTGACACTGTTAAGGTTCCTTCCTGGCAGGGTCTGAAAATTAGACAGACAGAGGCAGGTTAGCAGGAGAAAAACATACACATTTATTTAATGTATGTTTTACATGACACAGGAGTCTTCTTAAGGAATGAAGACCTGAAAAAAATAGTTAACCTGAGTGTTTTTAGGCTAGGTGTGATGAATGGGAAGTCATGGGAAGATATGATAGAACAAAGAGTATAGAAAGCTAGGAAACCAAGCAAGTCCTGTTCATCTGGCTTCTTCTCAGTATCCCTCTGTGGGAAAGGTGAGGGTGTTTCTGCCCTTCAGGTATAGAGCAGGCCTCTCTCACCTGAGGATCTTATGACCTGCCTCAGGGGAGGAGGTCAGAGGAAGATTAGAGAGATTTTCCTGTTTCAGCTGTTTTCTCAAACTCCTTCAGCTTAAAATATTCCATTGTGCCATGTATTATATTTTAGGGTAGCAGTTCTGGGACCATCTCAATGTAGCCCTTGACTTGGAAAGTAAAACCCTTCCACTTAGCTCGTTTCCTATTCTTAACAACAAAATTAAGGCCCTAGCTGGGTAGCTCAGTTGGTTAGAGCGTTGTCCAATTCACCAAGGTTGTAGGTTTGATCACCGGTCATAACACATACAAGAATCAGCTAAAGACCTTGGCTGGTGTGGCTCAGTGGATTGAGTGCCACAGGGTCGCTGGTTCCATTCTTGGTCAGAGCACATGCCTGGGTTGTGGGCCAGGTCCCCAGTCGGGGCAAGAGGCGAACGATCATTGTAGCTCTCATGCATGTGCATCAATGTTATCTCACTCTCTTTCTCCCTCCCTTCCTCTCTGTAAAATAAATAAATAAGATCTTTAAAAAAGAAAGAAAAAGAGTCAACCAATGAATGCACAAATAAGAGAACAACAAATTGATATCTCTCTCCTTCCATCTCTCTCTTCCTCTCTCTCTAAAATCAATCAATAAAAATTTTAAAATAAAATAAAAATTTCAACTGACTAAATTTTAAAAATCTTATTGGTTTTATTCAATGACTCATGAATTGGGCAGCATCCAATATAGCAGATAGAACAGAGCTGCAAAGAGCTATACAAGGAAAGAGATTTTATAGGCGGATGGGAGCGGATATAAGGAAGTTGTATGAGACCCAAAAAGCAGATTGTTTATTCCAAAGTTACTTTATGGCATGGCTCTGGTCTACAGGGCAGGTTACCTAACTAGAGCTGACCACGACATTCCTAATTAACTGGTTTAAAATAGCAGTTCCAAACCCTGACCAGATAGATCAGTTGGTTAGAGCATTGTCCTCCTACCCCAAGTTGTAGGTTTGATCCCCAGTCAGGGCACTTACCAGGACCAACCAATGAATGCATAAATAAGTGGGTGTTTTTCTCTCTCAAATCAATCAATAAATTTTTTCAATAAATATTTTTCAATAAAAGAAAATAAAAGTTCCATTTCTGAGCAAGCTGAAACTGTCAGTAGTCTAAGTTTGGTGATACAGGGCTTAGCATAAGCTACTCTATTTGGGGCCTGTTGTTTTGTTTTTAGCATTCTAAATCTGTTTGCTTACCTCATTCCTTTCGCCTTGCTGTTTGCTGTTTTAAATGGACATTAAAAACTTTTTTACGTGAAGATCATTTGAGATCTGGCTCCCCAGCCTATGTCATCAGTTTGGCTTAAATAAACTCTTAGGAAACTTTTAAAAAACAAAAGCAACCTTTTGTTTGTTTGTTTGTTTGTTTGTTTTCTCTTTTTTCTTTTTTGAAACCTCTCTGTCCAGGGCTGACATTCACTTGTTCGCAGTGAGGAAGCTGCTCTGACGTGGAGGAAGCCCGACCCAGAAGCAGGTCTTCCACAAATGGTTTAGCACCAGCCTGCGGTGCGTTTCGGGCAGGGGGCGGCCCCCTTTCCAGCCGTGTCCCCAAAACAACCTTTTAAGATGGTCTGTGAGCCCTTCTGTTTCGTGACCTTCGAATGGCTCACCTGGTAGTGTTTTGTAGCAAGTTAATTTCTCTCATGACAAAGGAGTCTATGTAGGTGGTAGCATTTTTTAGAAACCATGTCTACAAATGTTCCATGCTTGCTCAATTGTTTGTCTGAGCCCAGAATTCTTGGTAAGAAATCATCTCCTTTGAGAAATTGGAAGGTATTTCTCCATTATCTTCTAGTACCCAGTGTTGTGGCTAGGGAACTGGAAGCCATTATATTTCCTGATCTTAGATTCTCATTTCCTTATATTTTTTCTCCTATTTTACATTTGTTTATGGTTTTACTTTACTTATTAAGGGAATGTCTTAGGTTTTTTCTTTTCTTTTTTTAAAGATTTTATTTGTTTATTTTTAGAGACAAGGGCAGGGAAGGAGAAAGAGAGGGAGAGAAACATCAGTGTGTGGGAAATAGATTGGTTGCCTCTTGCACGCACACCCTCAACTGGAGACCTGACCTGCAACCCAGGCATGTGCCCTGACTGGGAATTGGACCAGTGACCTTTGGATTCACAGGCCTGCACTCAATCCACTGAGCCACACTAGCCAGGGCAATTTTTAAAATTTTTAAAAAAGAACATCCTGTGGGGTGGTGAACACACAATTCCGTGTACAGATGATGTATTGTAGAAATGTGCACCTGAACCCTATATAATTTTGTTAACCAGTGTTACCCGAATAAATTCAATAAAAAGAGGAGAAAAAGAATATCCTGTTTATTTAAAAAACATTATGTTTTAAATTTTTTGAGAAATAGTTTTGACATGTTCTCAATAGTCTTTTTTTTTCAAGTGGCTTTATTCTATTTGGTTTCTTTTGTTCATTTATTATTTATACCATTGCATTTGTTCCCACTTTTCTTCCCTTTTCCCAACTCCGCCCAGCCTCACCCTTTCCCCTCCCTCAGTTAATCCCCATATTTTGTCCATGTCCTTGGGCCATGCAAAGTGTTCTTTGGTTAATCCTTTTACCATTTTTTCATCCAGTCCTCCCCTTCCTCCCCATTCTGTTTGATTCTTTTAAAAAAGATTTTATTTATTTAATTGCAGAGAGGGGAGAGGGAAAGATTAGTTGCCTCGCCAATGCTGCCAACCAGGGACCCGGCCTGCAACCCAGGCAGGCGTTTACCCTGACAGGTAATCAAACCGGAGACCCTTAGGTTGGTGGGGCGATGCCCAATCCACTGAGTCACACCAGTCAGGGCTGTTTGCCTTTTTTATCTCATCTTACAAACTATAAGGAAAAAAAACATGTTAACCAGAAAGGTGTGAGTTTTTAAGATTGTTAAATATGCTCTTAAAGCATATTTAGGGGTTGTGTTTCTGAGCAATCCTCTCAGTATTTCCTTTTTGCTCAGCTTCTGCCATGTTTAAGTGAGCCCAGAGTCCACCGTCTATACCCCACACCTTCCTGTAGCTAGTTCCCTCACCTTTTTCTTAAATCTGGTGTCTTCAGCGAGAGTCTTTATGTCAGTCCTTTTCACTGTCTCACCGCTCAATCTTACATCTCCTGCAATGAGAGTTTTGCCCTCACTTCTCCAGTGGAAGACTCTGAGATGGTTGTAAGAGAGGGTCCCAAGGAAAAAGGGAGAACAGCTGAGAGATGAACAACAGGAGTAGAAAGTTAACAGCACCATAAAAATCTTGCTTCTTAAACTTGAGGACACATTGGAATCACCAGGGAACGTGAAAATGATGATTGATTGATTAGCAGCCTCAGTCTTTGATTCAGTAGGTGTGGGTTGGAGCTTGAGGCTTTATAATCACATCTAACAAGTTACCAGCTGCCGCTGATGCTGCCTGCCTGGAGGCCACACTGTTGAGAATTACTTTGAATAAAGTAACAATGTTTTATTCTGTTATTCTTTTCATTTTTATTCTTTTTTTTTTGTTGTTGTTGCAACATAATATGTTTATGGCTACTCCTCATCCCCTACAAAAATATTTCTTGATCATAATTTCAACTCTTGCTTTTTACTGTAAAGGGACAAAATTGCCAATGCATATTTTCTCCTAGTTTCTAGCTAAACTGGGAATGAGGGAGGTTGCACAGTGAATAGGAGATGGGAAAAAGAAGATTGGGGCAGCTGGGGACTTGTTCTATCTCCTGTAGAAAAACAGAAGTTAGTGTGGGAGCTTTTTGTTAGAATTCAACACGAGACTTAGGCAGGGCGGGAGGGAGAGATTTATGAATTAATTAATTTTAGTCACTTACAAATGTCGAATGCTGTTATATGTATAGTTTGTAAAACAAACTAAAATTACAAATCTAAGATACACATCCATCAAACATCAAGCTAATTAATAAGCTGTTTATCATAGGCACCTGTTTCTCCCCTACTCTTCCCTCACCAGCAGACTTCCCCTCATAAGCATCCAATGATTTAAGATGAGCCGGGCAAGAAAAACTTAAAGGAAACTTTCTCAGTTAACTTAATTGGGAGTTCATCCAAAATTGGGAGAAAACTGCCCTGTTCTTCTCTGCTCTAAAACATTTAAAGTACAGTTCACAAACCAGTAGACACCTCCAGAACTAGAGTTCAAAAAACCAAAACTAAACTAAATTTTAAGGCAACCTGAGGGAGACGCAACCCCAGAGGCACTAGGTACATTTTCTATCCTATTTGATAGAGGACGTGATTATGGTAACCAGAAGGTGGGTGGGGGGATGAAGAATTATCAGTCCCACAGGCTACTCCCACCCACTGAAATCCCTTTAACCAGCATCATTTGCATAAAAATAGGCGGGCCGATTGGCTTATCCATGTTTTAAAAGGAAACTGGACTCAAACTTTCAGTCTGCTCTTTTGCGTTGTGCTGGGATCTGATCTTTCTCCTGCTCTGTCCAGGCTATAGAGTTCTTTTCAAGCTACTTTGTAGCAGTTAGAGTTCTGAGTATCACCAGCTACTGAACTCTTTAGGAGCTTCAGCCTGTGACTAGACTTCCAATGGACTCACCGACGTTTAACCCAACCTGGAACATGGAGTCTACTCAGGTGCCTGCTGAAGGAAATTCAGGTAAGCAAGATGGTGCCTTTCTTGACTACAACGAGTTGGGGAAGTTAAGAAAGAGGCTGCCTCCATCTTCTTTCTCGTTTGCTTGTTTGTTATATTTTATTTATTTTTAGAGAGAGGGGAAGGGAAGGAGAAAGTGGAAGAGAAACATCAATGTGTGGTTGCCTCTCATGTGTCCCCTACTGGGGACCCGGCCTGCAACCCAGGCATGTACTCTGACTGGGAATCGAACCAGCAACCCTTTGCTTAACAGGCTCGTGCTCAATCCACTGAGGTACACCAGCCAGGGCTTCCATTTTCATACTAACTAAACTGTTTTGGCTTTTTGTTTGTTGAGAGAGAGCCATATATGTTGTTACACTTAATACATGCATTCATTGGTTGATTCTTGTGTTTGCTCTGACCCAGGATGGGACCCTCATCCTTGGTATATCATCAGGATGGCCTTCTAACCAATGGAGGTACTTGGCCCGTGCCTGACTTTAGTGTTTTAAAGAATACAGTTAATAGGTCCCTCCTGTGGGGGAAATGAGAACCCACGGAGGGCAAACAGGAAAATGGGGAAAGGATGTTAAAACTGTGTCACTCACTTACTATGCTTTTAAGTCCAGTTTCTGGGGAACAACTGGGATTCTGCTAGAACCTGGCTCATAACATCTTGAAATCAGTCTTTCCACCAGCAATACAGGTCAAAAGAGAGTGGTAAAGAGAAACAAGACATGAAACCTAAACTTCAATTTAACCTCAAGACTTTCTTTTTAAAAAAATGTTTTAAATATTTTATTTATTTATCTTTAGAGGGGGAGAGAATAAGAGAAATATCAGTGTATGGTTGCCTCTCATGAGTCCCCCACTGGGAACTGGCCTGCAACCCAGGCATGTGCCCTGAGTGGGAATCAACTGAGATGGTGTGGTTCTCAGGCCCGCGCTCAATCCACAGAGCTACACCAGCCAGGACTAACCTCAAGATTTTCTTAATTTTACCAACATTTTACGGGTTGGCTTTAACAGGGAAATAGCTTTTTGGGAAAGAAGAAAGGAACGGTTTTATAAGAGCCAGTGAACATGTTCCAGGTCACCCACTGCCACCTACAATGCTCAGCTGTTAGAACAATGAGATTCCTAAGGAGTGGCTGGCTGGGATTGGGTAAATGTTAGAACAATGAGATTTCTAAGGAGTGGCTGGCTGGGATTGGGTAGATGTTAGAACAACGAGATTTCTAAGGAGTGGCTGGCTGGGATTGGGTAGATGTTAGAATAATGAGATTTCTAAGGAGTGGCTGGCTGGGATTGGGTAGATGTTAGAACAACGAGATTTCTAAGGAGTGGCTGGCTGGGATTGGGTAGATGTTAGAATAATGAGATTTCTAAGGAGTGGCTGGCTGGGATTGGGTGTGGCTCCCAGAAAGGCAGGAGGGTGGGGACCTGATTAGCAATATCCCTGGGGCACTGCTTCTAGGAAAGTCCTAATTTATATTTGTATTAATGTGAGGCAGCACGTTCACTAGCTGCCTCATTGGATGATATAGAGTGTTTGCATGGGGTATACATAATGGTTTGTATGAAAGAGGCCAGAGTTACATGCTTGCTTTTTCATAATATTGGGCTTTCTCATAGTAGACTTACTACTATGACAAAGCGGATGTAACTGGCAGGGGTAACAGCTGTTTCAACTTCCTCACTCAGCTTGAGAGGATGGGAGAGACGTTTGCAATTGGGATTTCTTTGGCTATTTCACTGGCGTGGCTCTTTTTCCAGAAATTGTAATTCTTCTAAAGTTGAATTGCGGAAACTTATTCACTGGAATATTTTGACATGTATTAATACTTTATGTCCCTCATTTATACTAAAAATTCACACAGAAAATGGAATAACTACCAGTACCTGATTTCTGTCCCATGTTTTTCCACTTGAAATCATACATAATACTTGGTTAGTTTTGACCTCATGGGAAAAAAGACATTCAGAATTACCAGTAACAGGAAAGTGAGAAAAATTTTGAGAATGAAGTGTTTCCTATAGTGGATTCTTAAGCATCTTCTCCATGTAGGCTTTGAACCGTACAGCCTGCTAGACCAGCAGGGGTCTGCAGGATCCTCCACCCCCAAGGAGCTACCCCTCCGTATCCTGTCCACCTGTTTAAGAGCAGACCTAATTTGAGCCTAAGACTAGAGACTTTAGGATATTGCAGTTTACCCTAACGGATCTTAACTTTCTCTTTTATTTCAGCTGACGCTCAAGCTGTCTCAGAACTACTAGCAAAGAACCTTGGCGACTTGACTCTCAACCCTGACATCAAACTGTCTCCACTGCCACCAGAAAGTTCACCCAAAAAGCAGGAGAGAGGAAAGAGCTTACAGGGCCTTGGCCTTGGGCTAAGGCCAGGGCCGGGTGAAGGCCTGCTCTTCGAAAAAGGGCATGGAGTGAGGACAGTGGCGAGTGTTCGGAAAGAAAGGATGCGAAGGGCCTTACAAGTGATTAGATTCCGCACCCTGTCTCTGGTGAGTTTCTGTAATCAGGGCAGCTGGACCCAACAGGGGTGGGGTGGGGGGGACGGGACATGCTCATACATGAAGATGTAACTGATTACCAATCACTCATCAAACTCCACTCAGGGTCCCAGGGTGTGAATAACGTGTTTCCCCAGCTTCTCTGCTGTGGAAGATATTTAACATAAATAATCCAGCTTTTTCTTGATAGCGTTTAATACGTCTATTTTTTCTCTTTCCCATAAAGCTTAAAAAAACCCCAGAGGAGAGGAAACTTGAGGTAAATAGAAATTTTCTTACTATTCATGGTGACATGGCTTTTGATGTTTTTGTTTGCTTGATTGTTTTTTTGTTTTGTTTTGCTGCAGAGAGGGAAGGGGGAACTAATGGGGTTGGACTTTCTGACTCACCAGGCACTATGAAAAAAATCAGTTCATCTCTACTTAGTCTCTTTGATTTATTTAAGAGCAGTTTTAGGGTCACAGCAAAACTGAGCAGAAAATAGTGTTCCCATGTAGCTCCTGCCCCGACACACTCACTGTCCCCTCCACTATCCACACCCCACCCCAGAGTGGCCAGGTGTCAGAGCTGATGAAGCTGCATTGACACATCATTGTCACATACAGTCTATAGTTTAGTTTACATGAGGGTCCACTCTTGGTGTATGTTTGCTTTTCTATATGCTGTCACAAACATAATGGTCATAATAATATGGCGTGGGATTGGACAAATACCTGAGCAGAGTGTGCAGCAGAATAAGTTCCTGACATTTAGGGCATTCAGAAAACTGACGCTGGGGTTTGTTTCTACTGGTTGACAACAAGCAGCAGCTGTTACCATTACAAAATGACCCACACTCTGGCAGTCTTGGCTGCCCATACATTTAAATCCTGTCTCCTTTCTGCCCCCAAAGAGGTTTTGGTTTTGACCCCTTTTTTTTTTTTTTTAGTTTACAATATTCCAAAGGCTATTCTAATATATTAAATTTGAGGGTGTCACTGTGTCCATTTTTATTACTCCAGTTAATGCATTTTCTCTTTTCCAGATTGAAGCAAGAACCAGAAAATTTAGATGTTCCTGTGTTTACTGCGTACATTATGGAGATGTTTCTGATTATATGGAAATGAAGAATGGTTATGACATGGGTTTGGTTTAGCCACAAGCCTTATTCTTGTAATTTGGGCTTTTTGCCGGTAATTTTAAGGTCATTATGTAGCAGCTTAGGAAAGTTACTCTAGGCTAGGATAGACTAGACCAATATTTTGTTAGCCTACAATAGAAGTTCTGTGATGTCCTTTTCTTGTCCACCTTGATGCCACTAACTTAAGGGGAATCAATGTATGGGTGGTTTGCATTTGAATGACTTAAATATACACTTCAGTTCCTTTTTTATTTGACTCAAGGAAGTACTAATAGGTCTTAAGTGTCATTGTTGTTTTAGAAGCCTGAAGTTGGTGAGATGAAACCTAACACCAAGAATTAGAAGCAAGTAACTTGTGCAGAAGGAATGTTAAAAAAAATTAAAAGGGTGGTTTGGCTAGAGCATGATTGGTGCAGGGTGTATTAGGTAGATTTCTCTAATTTTATTGTGACAAGTGTTTCTGTGTGCTATTTCAATGTAGTAGCAAACAAATGTTGCACATAAGGCATCTTAATAAAATTTGAGGCATATTTGAGACTTTTTGTGTTCTTAGTTCTTACTTAATACTTTTTACTAGCAGTGAACAAACATTCTCTTCATCATTCCCACGGTACAAATCTCTGGAATTCTAATATTTGGGGATATTTTCCTATGGGGAAGGAACTTGACACTTGGGTGAGGTTAGAAAACAAGGGCACAGATATTTGCACATGTCAGCTTCCTAGAAATGTGAAAAAATGGAAAGTAGAAGGTTTTGTTGAAGAAAAAGGAATGATAGTGGCATGTACTAAGGGAAGATGCCATCTAGTGGTATTTTACTCAGGTTATTTTATTTTTCTCATGACCCCTCACCTACACAGACCTGAATTTCTTTGGGATAGAAAAGGTAGATATTCATACCTCCGTACTCATCAGTGTCAGAACTTGTCACATTTTGACAAAAATATTTTAGCACTTGGCGCTTGCTTGGGACTCGTCACATTTGCTAGAATCTGTGAAGTGTTTTGTTCATTTACAGACCCAATTCTTTGGTTACTTTTTTTTTCCTTAAGAGAAAAGCAACTGGAGACATGGGGTGAAGAAATACATGCTACCTTGGTAATGCAGAGAGAGAAGAACAATAACTGTTCAAAATGGAGTGGGAACAAGCGGAACAAACCTGCAAGCCTGGGTGCGACCAAAATAGCAAAGTGGGAGAGTGGAATTTAAAGGGATATTAAATATTAACATGTCCTGCCAAGTTAGGTCTTCAAAAGTTATTCTCCTTAAAAACTACTCCAACCATGATCTACCAGCATGGATAAATATGAGAAATAGCCTTGCCCTGGCTGGTGTAGCTCAGTGGATTGAGTGCGGGCCTGAGAACCAGAGGATCGCGGTTCAATTCCCAGTTCAGGGTACATGCCTGGATTGCAGGCCAGTTCCCAGTGGGGAATGCACGAGAGGCAACCATACATTGATATTTCCCTCTCTCCTTTTCTTCCCCCTCTAAAGATAAAAATTTTTTTTAAAGATGTGAGATAGTCTTGAGGGTTTAATTATTTAATTTTATTGATTATGCCATTACAGTTCTATTTCCCCCTTCATTCCCCTCCACCCTGCACACCCCTCCCCCACCATTCCCCCCTTTAGTTTATGACTGTGTGCCTCGAGTTCTTTAGATTCATTTCCCATACTATTCTTGCCCTCCCCCCATCTATTTTCCAACTACCGTCTATGCTACTTATTTTCTGTACTTTCTCTTCCCTTCTCCCACTCCCCTGTTGCTAACCCTCCATGTGATCTCCATTTCTATGTTTCTGCTCCTGATCTAGCTGTCCTTTTAGTTTGCTTTTGTTTTAGGTGTGGTTGTTAATAACTGAGTTTGCTGTCCTTTCACTGTTCATATTTTTTTAATTTATTTTTTTAAATTGATTATGCTGTTACAGTTGTTCTATTCCCCCCTTCATTCCCCTCCACCCTGCCCCCCCATCCCCACCATTACCCCCCTTTAGTTTATGTCCATGTGTCTCAAGTCCTTTAGGTTCTATATTTCCCATGCTATTCTTGCCCCCCCCCCCATCTATTTTCTATCTACTGTCTATGCTACTTATTTTCTGTACCTTCTCCCCCCATCTCCTCCTCCCACTCCTCTGTTGCTAACCCTCCTTGAGATCTTCATTTCTATGTTTCCACTCCTGATCTAGCTGTCCTTTTAGTTTGCTTTCGTTTTAGGTGTGGTTGTTAATAACTGAACTTGTTGTTCTTTCACTGTTCGTGTTTCTTTAACTTATTTTTCTGATTATGCTGTTAAGTTGTTCATCCCCCTTAACATTTCATCTAATAAGGGCTTGGTGATGATGAACTCCTTGAATTTGATCTTAGAAGTACTTTATCTGTCCGTCCATTCTAAATGAAAACTTTGCTGGATAGAGCAATCTTGGTTGTAGGTCTTTGGATTTCATGACTTAGAATACTTTCTGGCCCCTTCTTCCCTGTAAGGTCTCTCTTGAGAAATCCGCTGACAGTCTGATGGGAACTGCTTCGTAGGTGACTGTCCCCTTATCTCTTGATCTTTCTAGGATTCTCTCCTTATTTTTAATCTTGGGTAATATAATTATGATGTGCCTTGGTGTGTTCCTTCTTGGGTCCAACTTCTTTGGGACTTTGAGCTTCCTGGATTTCCTGGAAGTCTATTTCCTTTGCCATATTGGGGAAATTCTCCTTTATTATTTGTTCAAATAAGTTTTCCACTGGTGGCTGTTCCTTTCCCCCTTCTGCTACCCCTATAATTTGGATGTTGGAACGTTTAAAGATGTCCTGGAGGTTCCTAAGCCTCTCATTTCTTTTGAATTCTTGTTTCTTCATCCTTTTCTGTTTGGTCATTTTTTTTCTTCCTTCTGGTCTGCTCCCTTGATTTGAGTCCCAGTTTCCTTTCCATCACTACTGGTTTCCTGTGCATTTCCCTTCATTTCAAATAGTTTAGCCTTCATATGTTCTAATTTGTGACTAAAATCAACCAGTTCTGTGAGCATCCTGATCACCAGTGTTTTGAACTGTGTATCTGAAAGTTTTGCTATTTCTTGGTCACTTAGATTTATGGGCTCTGGGGCTTTGAGTTCTTCTTGAGCCATAATGTTTTTATCTGTTCGCACCTGTTACATATGAGGAGCGGAGCCTTAGGTGTTCACTTGAAGTTTTGTTAAACTTGCAAATTTCTAGTAGGACAGCCATCTTGACTACTTTTCTGTATGAATTAAAATCAGACTAGTTTTTGTAAAAAGCCAATTTATTTGCAGTCATGTTAAATTCATAAACTAATGGGACTCTAATCTTAGAATGTGGCTGAACAAAATACGCTCTACCTGGCCTTCAGATGTATTTAATTTTTTTCTTTATACAGTGCTAGAATTTTATGTGCATTACCTCACTTAATCCTCAAACCAAATTTATGAAACATGCTTTTATTTCTTTTAAAGATTTTATTTTTAGACAGGGAGAGAAGGGGAAAGAAACATCAATGTAGGGTTGCTTCTCATGCTCCCTCTTCACCGGAGACCTGGCCTGCAACCCAGACATATGCCCTGACTGGGAATAGAACCTGCAACCCTTTAGTTCACAGGCCAGCACTCAATCCACTGAGCCATGCCAGCCAGGGCAAGCATGCTTCTTTTAGTATCCTCATTTTATAGAAATCAAGCAGAAGATCGTGTGTTCAAGGCTGCATAATAAGCAGCACATGTGAAATGGAAGCTGATTGAGTTAAGTCAGCACGTTCAGCCCACGTCCATTTCCTACTAAATATCTTTACTCTCTAGTTCCTTCCTTAGGTGTTTTGAGGTATTTCTATTATTTTTTTGAACAGGTTGCAATGTGTGAAAGGTATTGGTTTCTATTTTTGTGGTTTTTTTGGAAATTTTAAACTGCATATAATTCGGGGGTTTTTAATATTTTTTCTTTCTCTATAAATCATTTTTTTCCTGCTTATTTATGCATTCACTGGTTGGTTCTTGTATGTGCCCTGACCAGGGATCGAATGCACAACCTTGATGTATCAAGACAACACTAACCAACTGAGGTAGCCAGAGCCATATAATTTTAAGGTGAGGCCAAATGAGCTGTACACACCTCAGCTAGATGAACTGGTTGTTAATATTAGCCATATTCACTTTAACACTTTCTAAAATAGATTTTATTTTTAGACAGGGGAAAGCAGGGAGAAAGAGGGAGGAACATCCAAGTGTGGTCGGGTCATGTGTGCCCCCTACTGGGGACCTGGCCCGAAACCCAGGGACGTGCCCCAACTGGGAATCGTACCACAGACCCTTTGGATAACACACCAGCCAGGGCTGTTTTTGTATTTTTCTAATCCTTTCATTGTTTTCCCTTAATTTTCTTTGTTCTACTTCCTATTTCCTATTTGTTGAGTTTTCCATACTTTCTCCCTGTCCCTCCCATTTTTGCCGTTTTGACTGAGTTTGGTCACCTTGCATTTCTTGACTCCTGTGGTCTTGTAGTCTCTCCTCTTGGTTCCTGCATTTGATTTCTTTAGACTTAGGGGTCCTGCATAGTTTTGTACAATTTTTTATGACACTTATTTAGTGTTATCCATTCTTCCCTTACTTAAACATCACCATTGGTGGTTTATTAGAGGGTACTATTTGGTAGTGGCTGAGAATGGTACACCTGAGCTCTGTTTACTAGTTGTGTGACCTCAGGCAAATCACTTACCTTCTCAAATAATCTGCTTTCATATTCCTTTGAAGATTTTTGAGCTTAGTTCAAGGATGCAGTTACCTGCAAACAGTTTGATTCTGTAGGCTTTTTAGGTAGGGTCAGAGCAGCTTCTAGTCAGGCTAATTTTTCCCCAGCAACAGACAAAGCCCTTCTGAGTACTCCACCTATGAATTATATGGTTTTCCACTCTGGCTGGTGGAAACAGGCCCTATTTCTGGCCTCGTGGGAACTGGGTACTGTCCCCTCTCATGCTAAGCTCGGGAGGTCCTTTCTGCAGTCCTTGGTAGTTTCCTGACACGAACTGATGGCAGCTGAAGACTCCAGGAGAACCCTCTGCAGGTTTCCAGAGCTCCGCTCTCTGGCTCCCTCTGCTCCAGCTTTCTGCCCTGAAAATTCTACCTATCTTGGTCTCCCTGGACTCCCAGCAACGTCCCCCAACTCAGAGACCAC